TCAAGAGAAACAAATGCCTTAATGTGCGTGAAAGTACTTTATAAGTTGTAAAATGTTTAATACCAGGGCCTAGACTTAAATTGGCTGGCATGTGAGCAGGACCCTGAAAGACAGACAAGACCTGCCTCAGTAGAGTGGAGAAGGGGAAGTGTTCTGGAGGAGGTGGAGGGAGGCATGGCTCAGTTAATGGCCCAGAAGCAAGACAGTCCTTACTGGGATGGGGGCGGGGTGGTGTGGAGTGTTTGGTACCATGTAAGAGTGGGGATTACTAGAAGAGCATTGTGCATGGAGGCAGAAAGGTTGTTTTCCAATAGGGCCAGGCCCTCTGGGAGTTTGGACTTCACTGTTTTACAGGCATAATTCTAGGTTCCTTGGGGTATGCCAGTGGTAGAATCAGGCTTCAAGTGTTTGGAAAGCTTACTGGGTTTTTAAAGAATTTTAACTGTGTGAAAATATAATACTCTCCTCTGTCTGTCTTCAACTTCCTTCCCTACTCTTAGGCTGCAATAGAGCATTTGCTCCCAGGGGTGATCAAAGACCTCTCCAGACAGTTTGCTCCCATGTGTCAAATGTGGGCAGGCAAAAAAATCACCTTTGTCTTAACATGACTTGGATCAGTTCAGATCCGAAAAAGAAATCAAGATGTTGTTTTAATCTCACAATCTTCATTCCTAGCCTTACACTGCAAATATTTACCGTTTTAAAAATATTTTTTGTAGTTGAAAATCCTCAGCAGAACAAAGGGTTACGAAGTTAAGGCTTCCTCCTACCCCAGGTCTTTAGTCCTTCCTCCCCAGAAGCAGCTACTGTTCCCAGGCCCTTTAGTATCCCACCCAAATAGTCAAGATATACACAAAAATGATTCACAGACTCACAGACTCTTAGAGAAAATCTGATCTGACCCTGTCATTTTGCAGATAAGGAAACTGAGACCCAGAAAAGTGACTAGAGTTATTTCAAATCTCACCTTTAAGCAAATATTTGGTTACAAAATTGTATACATATCTTTATTTTATTTGCATTTATCTTTAATTAACATATACATATTTGCTTAATATATACATTTATTTATCCAATTAGATATGGTTTTTAAAAAATATAAAAATTTTATGAATTTCCAAAAATTAAAAACAACAACAGCCCTCTATTGCTAATGAGTACCACGGAGATATTCTGAAGCTTTTAGGAAGATCATGGGGCATCCGATCAATGGGGAGAAATGAAGAGGGATGGAGGTGGGACAACCCATTAGAAAGTCACTACTGTAGGAATGAGGACCTGATGGCTACCGTAGCCTGGGGCTGGGGCAGATGGAAGAGGGTGCCCCATAGGTCTGAGGACCTACTGGTTAGAGGGGGTGCAGAAGAGGGCACCCCCGAGGCCTTGGGGAGCAGGATGACTAGGTATGGTATAGGGAAATGGAGCTGGTGAATTTGGGATGACTGCTGAGTGGAAAGATCTGTTAGGCAAATGGAGAGAAAGAACAAGGCGAGGAAAGGAGTAGGGCCGGCAGCTGGCATCTAAGGAATTTGGAATTGACCATATGGAGGAGGAGACTTTAAAGGAAGAGAATGAAAGGGAAAGACTTAGGTCTCAGCCTTAAGAAATGCAGCAGCCAGGAGGCATCAGGAGGGCTTGGTGTGAGAAGCTCTAGGGAGCTACTGTAGGTTCTTGAGCAGAGGAGTGACTGATCCTAGAATCCCCCAACTCTCAGAGGTGGAAGGGACCTCCCAGGTCCTGGGACCTAGCTCTTGTCCCACACTCCTAAAAAAACAGCCCCCAGCACACCTTGTGGGCATGCATGTCTCCAGGAAAGGAGGCGCCATCCTTCCCTGATGCAGCCTCTAGTTAACTCCCATGCCTGTGGTTAGATAGCTCTCCTGGCACCTCAGGTGGCGCCCTCTATAGTGTCCCCATCCATAAAACAGAGGGTTGGAGTGCATGATCGTGGGCCCCTAAGTGCTCCCAGGTTAAGCATTGCCTGAGTTCTCAGGACATGGTTTTGAGACTCCTTGCTCTCCTGCCTACCAATCTGTGAACTTGGATGAGGAAGAGTGAGGTAGACCTGGCTAGAGCTGGTCAACTCCTGGGAAAGGGAATGGACTCTTTCCAAGTGCTCATACATGCATTATCTCATTTAACCCTCCTGTCCCTTGGGTACCAAGGCTCATCCTCATTCCAAAGAAGAGGAAGTGGAATCTCCAAGAATCTCAGTTGCCCAAGAGCACACCAATGAGGATGGCTTAGGGTTGGACCAGGGTCCACCTCCAGGACCTCACTGTTCTCACGGCCACCTGCACTAAGAGGCCATGTGGGAGGTGGGTGAGCCATGACCAAGAGGAGCATGGCGGTGGTTGTTCATGAAAGGCATGTGTAGGTGGGATCATCTTCATTCTTCTAAGAGTCCCCTGCCAGGAGGGTCACCTTCATGGCCATTACGCCAGCTGAATGTGGGCAGGAGGACATCGCACTGTTGTGCACGATCAGAGCCTCTGTCTCTCTAGGAGCAGGACATTCCCCTGCCAGGAGGGTCACCTTCATGGCCATTACGCCAGCTGAATGTGGGCAGGAGGACATTGCACTGTTGTGCACGATCAGAGCCTCTGTCTCTCTAGGAGCAGGACACCCAAACTGTTCCTGGAGAATGGCTCAGCCCAAATGGGGGCATCCCGCACTTCCCAACTCTGTCTCCGACTCCCAGAGCAAGATGAAGGAGAGAATAGAAGGCTGTGTGCCTGTGGTCCTAGACACACTGAAGCCGATCTGAGCAGCAAGTCGTGGGTAGGAGCCATAGTGGATCTGAAGCCAGTGTGCCTGGGTTTAAATCCAGCTCTGTCACTTCCTATCTGTGTGTAGGTGACTTACCCTGTCTATCCTTGGGAAAATAATAATACTGGTGTCAGGAGTTGTTGTGAAGGTTCAAGGAGTTACTACATACAAACCCTTGAAACAGTGCCTGGCACTTAATAGTACTCACTAAGTGTGGCTATGTCAGAAGACATCATCTTATTACCTTTACTTATTACTCTGGACCTGGGGGCCACAGACTAAAGGGGTACAGACTTAACACCTACAGTTAAATGGGTGTTGGAATGTCAGTAGTGAAGGACCATTAATACAGTGAAACCACCTCTCAACCTCAACGTTGAAGACACTACAGGAGTGATAGGGACTGTGACAAACTGGGAAGTTGGTGCTCTTATAGAAAAGCAAGCTCCTACCCAGCTACAGCCAGTCATTGACATGAAAAGTTGGGTCATGTTGCCACATCTTCGGATTTTCCAAAGAAGCAGGAAATTCAGACTTTTATGTGAAATGTACTGATTTTTTGTTTTGTTCTTTTTCTTTTTTATCTCTATTGAAATATACTGATTTTTAAGTGTGGCAAATAATTTAAAAAGCAAGCAAGAAAACGAAAACTGTGTAAGGCCAAACTAAACACTTCTGTGAACCCCCAGAGTATGTTGCCACCCCAGGGCCAGGCCTTTGCAGCCTCGTCAGCAAATTGAGCACCTACTACGTGCCAGTCACTGTTGCAGGCACTGGGCATAGAGCAGTGAATACAAGAGACAAAGCCCCTGCCCAGGCAGAGCTGACATTAGCACGCGTGTGCACAGGCAGGTACAGTGTGTGGCGGGGCAGGGAGAGACAGATTACAAGCACACATTCTGTTACAGGCTGTAAGAAACAGAGCAGGATAAGGGGGACCAGGAGGGGCCCTGAGGTAAGAGTGAGGGGGCAAAGGTGGTGGGAGCCAGAGACAAGATGGAGCTGTGCCTGGATGGGAAGGTGGGTGGAGGAGACAGTACTGGGAGGTGGACAGAGACTGGACCCAGCCAGACCTCTTCTCCTGGTGGTCACACTCTGTGAACCCCTGATGGGGCCCAAAGGAGCTGTATGCTTTTTAGCAATATCTGCCATTTGGCCCTTGTTCCTACCCTAGCTCTCTGGAGTCTCTGGACAGATAGCCCTTTGTACCTTCTCCTGGGATTCCTTTGTGCCTGTAACCCATATACAACATCCAACTTCTTGAGGGTAGAAAGGCCAATTGTGGTTTAACCCTGAGGTCACCCCACCTCTGTGTTCACACGGTGCCCAGGAACAGTAGGCTGCAACGTACAAATGTGTTGAACTGAAAGAATAACGTGGCCTTAAGAACATGACCTCACTTGTCATGCCTTGGTTTCCTCACCTGTAAAATGGGATAATAATCCTGCCTCACCCGATTGTGGGGAAGAGGAAATGAGATAAAGGCTGTAAAAACTGGGAGACCAGATAACCCGGGCCTTGAGAGACCAGTGTTTCCGGGTTTTTAAAGCTTTCTCCTGCTGCAAGCCAGGTGCCCCCTGAGCTCGTGGAAAAGATGCTCACCCTCATTGGCCAGGGGAACCCCACTGGCTTCTCTCCTGCCACCATGGGCCTCAGTTTTCTCCTCTGAGGGGAGGTGATAGGATAAGAGAGGCCAGAGCACAGCCTGCCACAAATCCTTCCTGGCTGCCCCTGTCCCCTCAGCGCAAACTCTTGTTGCCACGACTTATTTCATTTAAGCCATTTTGCTCCTACCCCAGAACCCAGGCATCCCAGCCCCATCCCAGGGTGAGTCCAGACAAAGGCAGGCCCCAGGGGACCAGCAGCCGCCAAAGCTGAGACTGGCCTTGCCAGGCGCTGGCGGAGCCCCTGGGAGATGGTGAGCCGCCAGAGATCCGGAGACCCTCGGTGGCACCTGGGTTGCCCCAGCTGCCCATCTCACCGGCTCCCACTTGAGGCAGGGAGAGGGGTGTCAGCCTCAGCCACCTCTCTGCTCCCTCAGTCCCCTTTTTCCCAGGCTGTGGGAGGCAAGGGGTTAAATCCCATAGAGCTGATGCTCTGACTCCAGGCTAGAGGGGCCCGGGAAGCTGGGGTCACTTCCTGCTCCGTCCCAGTCACCCTGAACTGGTCCCCGGGTCCTCAGCCTGGAATCACCCCTTGAGGAGGACCCCGGAGCCCTGGCCGTCCAGCCCGCCCCCTGCAGCAGGGCAGTCAAGGGGTTAAATCCCCCGGGGCTGGATTCCGCCTTCCGGCTTTTCCCAGACCCCAGAGCCGTGAGTCGGGGACGCCTGGGTTCCCGGGGGGTGGCCCGGCGCGCCCGGGACGGCCGCCGGGGAACAATGGGCGACAGGCGGGGGCGGCGCGGGCCGGCGCCCCCCGCG